TTGATGAAGTTACTACCACTGATGTGACTGTTACCGATAATAGGACATTTCCTTATGGAGCAGATGAACCCCATGTGAAGCAGAAGCCAACGAGAGGGAGACCAGTAAGGAAGAAGATACGTCCAGTAAAATTAAGAGACTTTGTCGAATTTTAATTTTGTGTTTGTAAATTCTATACAGTTAATCAAGTTATTGTTAATTATCTATCGGTTTAATGTAAGTAGCTATTGTTCGGGACGAACAATACTAAGGAAGGGGCAGTGTTACGACAGCTGAAGTCACGTGACCCTGGTAACACGTGATGAGTATCTAGAAGGATCATGAAGGCCCGAGTGTTTGCCATCCGCCCTCTATTTTAATATATAAGTCCGGTAAATAAAGCTGAAAGATAATTTTGCAGATAGAGACAGATAATCGAGTCAAGTCGTAAGTAAAGTGCGTGAACCGTTGTGAATTATAGCGTGTGTTTAAGTTAAAGTGACTGTGAAAATTAAATGTATTGCAAAGTTGTATTGAGAAAGAATAAACTAGTTTTATTTAAGAAATGACTTGTATCGCTGAAGTTCTTCGGAACGAATTTTTACGGGAAATTAACAAACGATCAAAGAAGTAACACAACGTCTTAGTATTATCAGCGATATTTGGAAACATTACTGCTAGAGAAGTAGCCAAATTGTTAACACAAACAATAATAAACGAAGATCCCTAAATAAGAAACCCAAAAGTCATATCCAATCAGTAAAAAAATATAAAAAAACTATTTTTCAACACAGTTTGATTTCTGCATCTTAACTTGATTTCACATTTCAGCTCCTTTACTAATTCCATAACCTTCCGATTTACTGATTATTTTTTCTACGCTATTTTACCAAAATCATCCAAGATGCCTTCATCCAGAAAAGCGAATAATAACAATAATAATAATTCTAGCATGAAGGAATTATAAGACATTTTCTCTAAACCAAACTGAGAACCTTTTATGAAATGGCAACTTTACAAGTGCCTTTGTAAATTATTTTTTATAAACAAACAAGGGACAACTCTTGTCAGAGTAGGAGATGTACTTTCTAGAAGTGTCCCAATCTTATACATGACAGTTTTTCCTTCAAAGTAAATAGAAAAAAAATTATCTGTGGCATTGCCAAAGAAACCTTAAACTTAACTTAATCAAAATTCATTACAATTTAGTGAAAAAACTTAGTTCACGTTCTTCTTCTTTAATAATTTACAAAAAGGTTTTTTTGTGACTTTTTGTGGGTTGGCGGTAAGATTACAGACTTACAATGCTGTAATTTGAGGCTCGATTCCTCGCCGTGGACAAAGCGCAGTTAGTCTGTTGTTTGTTAAAACAAACAAATAAACTTTAGCTTGGAAAGGCAACTGACAAATCATTTCTCTCCCCACCCCCCTCCCCAGTGGCTCAGCCTTATGTCTGCTGACTTACAAACTAAAAAACCGGTTTCAATACTTGTGGTGGGAATAAACAGACAGGCCATTTCGTATAATCCACTTTTTTTTCTGTTGCAGACAACAGAGGGCGGTTATATAATAGCGGTAGTTTTTGTCATACATGTCTTCTTACAATTTATCTAAAGAACATTAAAAATATATTAAAACTAATCAGAGGAAAAGATAAATGAATTTTGAAATTAAATACTTCATTCTAACTATTGTAATTTGCATAATTGCTGCTATAAAGTTTGATTTGTGGAATTATTGTTCTTTAAGCTTTTATTCAACCTATTTTAAAGGTAGGCTAATAGTAATAGTAATTTAATATTATAATGATGATATTGCATTTCCCAAAGCACGTAGGATCAACAGAAAAATCTCAATTTTCGGATTATGCACTTACTGGATTTTTATCTTTATTATTCACACTAACATTTTACTAAACATATTACTATTAGTATTAATAATTAATTGAGTACGTAATGCTTTTTTGATATTAATTTGTTATGTAATTCACAATCATTAACTTTGTCTACATTAAGCATCAGGCTGCTGTTAACCTGATTCAACATAAGTTGTAGGGGCTTATGTTTATTCTACGTTTGTATGATATATTTATAATGCAAAAATTACACCCAATGGTCATGTGTTTTTACCTTTCAGAAACATTAACACTAGTAAGTGGTAGAGGTACAAGGTGTGACTTTTACATAATTAATTTGATGTAATAATCAAGCCTGGCAATTACAGTTTATAACTTTATGATATACCACCAATGCTTGCTAGACTAGTAGTTCCCAACCTTTTTGACTTAATTACCCTTACTGAACTGTGTTCATTGGAGTATCTAACTTCTATAGTACTAATAAAATAACAACATTGATATTGCCACACATCTGTTCACTAGCTTCCATTCAACACTGTTTCTGTATGTATTGTATTGAATTATATTGTATGAACTGATCTATCACTAAATTTAGGGTTCCTACAGAACAAATCATGGTTAAAATATATTAGACTGAATGCAAGGAGGCAGAAACAATAACATGAGATTAAAAAGATTACACCATATTTGAGAATGGACCTTGAACAAACCAATCACAGAAGCTAGCAGACTTCCAGTTTGGCTGTTTTCATTTATTAATACAGTATTACGATTTATTTGTATGTGTGTATATATATATATTATTAGGAGTTGCTTTTTTATCCATTCATGGACCTTTGTGTACCCTTAGGGGTAAATTTACAACTTGGAACAAATACACTATTGACTCTATTAATCATTCATGATATTAGAAAAATATTTAGGTTCAAAAACTTAATTTAACACAAAAATATGATACCCTATAGTCCATACACTATCATATTTTTGTGACTATTAATCAAATTTTAAATATTATCTTAAAATGTTTTCCATGCTTATGCCAAGCACTATTTATCATAAATTGTAATGTCTTTCTTTGAAAAAATGGCATAAGTCATATTAGACATTATCAAACGTTTATGAAAACTATTTATCTTTCTGATATATTTTATAGATTCAACATCTAACAGCAATGAACTTGATCTTGTTATTGGTATCCTGTCTAGTCAAGATAATTTTGAAGAAAGAAATGCAATAAGACATACATGGCTCTCAAGTGTCAAGGGAAATTTAAGAGACAGAGTTAAAGCATGGTTTGTGGTTGGGAATGATTTCTGTGATATTCCACCACAATCCAGAGTAGATCTGTATTCATGTAATCGATGGAAGATTAATGTCACTGGTAAGATGTAAGGATGAAAAATGTAGTGTAATGTCTTCTTGGAATTTTATTCTTTCACAGGTATTTTTTTCTTTTATGAAAGAGATTTTGACACACAAAATTGTACAAGCAAACATTAGCTGCATGGGTTAATAAAAAGTTTAATAAACATTTGTTTATATACAATTAACACTTAAGGTCAGAAGCGGTTTTTGAACATTTACTGTTTAAATTAAATCAATTCTACTATATTATGGTAAATCCCATTATTAGGAAGACTAGCTTTTATTAAAGTTGACTTGACTAGGTTGTGAATATGGAAACTTGGGTACAAAGCAGTGCTTTATGATGTTTATGTACTAATTTAGCTAGGACTCAAGCTCTAAGCAAAAATTTCTTGATTGTGATTATCACAGTACATAAACACTTTTTTTCACAAGTTAATCAGATTAACAATTAAATATAACTAGTACAGTTTAAGCATTGATTTTATTATTTTTATGTATAAAATACATGTAAAAGCCCACCAATTCTGTAACAAAAATATTTTTTTCACATAATTGACATTTGTTATATTGTAATTCGTGTGCTACTAAAGCAGTACTACAACCAAAAACATTTATTGCAATAGTTGTATTTTTAACTTTTATTCATTATCATATATTTATTATGAGAAAATTATTTTATGTGATGTTAACCACCCAGAAAATTGTATTTTCTAATTAAAACTTAAAGATCAGTAGACTTGAGTTTAGCTAATAAGCATGAATATTGGAGTAATATATGTATAGTGATTAGTTAATGAACCACTGAGAAATAAAATAATTTTCTGATTAGCTTTTAAATTACTCCTTTTCCTGCTTTTGGAAATAAAGAATTTTAGTATGCTGAGTATGGTAAAGTTAATATTACCATTTTGCCATGAAAAAGCAACAAACCCAATGTATAAATATATCAAAAAATCGAAAATAAAATATATACTCCTTTTTAACCACTAGCCCCATTTAACTAATGTATCACATCTGCAACTTGTCTGAATGCATTTCTTACTTGCCTTAGTTATTGGGCTTGTACTAAAAAGAGGAAGTGATTTAATATGTTCTTTCAAAATAAATGATGACAAATGTTTCTCTACATGCAAATTTTTTCATTATTTGATATTAATTTTCCATATTTTTATGCCAGTATTCCGCTAATGTTTATCTTTCTAATGACCTTGAGATGTCTAAAATAATTTAGTGTTCTGTTCAAGGTATTTTAATATTTGTATAATGAAATAATGGTTTAAATTAGAAAATAAAAACCAACACCACATTAACTTATCAGAAATCTTTCTTCAGATTTCATAAAAACAATTTGAATAATTCGAATGAGTTCAGTTTGTAGATTTGAATTGCTTTTGAAATAATTATCCTGTAATCTTTGTAGAACAAATATATTTGTATGTGTATATATAGGTGGAAATTTGATTAACAAATCAACATTCAAGAGAATAAGAAGTTATTGAAACCCACATAAAAATGAAACATATGTTGTATTTATAGGGATTTCTAATTTGAACTATTTGTTACAGCATCTTGATAGATTTACACAAGTAATGTTATTTGACAGAAATCAAGTGTGTTATATATATGTGTGTGTGTGTGTGTGTGTGTGTGCAGACAGTAATGGAAATAATTATGGAAACAGACACACATTACATATATAGGAGTCACAAACAACAAGTAATGGCAACTAGATGATGAATATATTAATTGTACAAAACATTATCACAGAAAATTCAAAAGTGAATATGTTATACAATATACTAGTATTTATTATATGAACCACTTTGCTTTACACCTTGTTTTTCTGCTATCTGTCAATGTACAAATATGGAATAAATACCAAATGCCTTGCATTAAGTCCCACACCTAAGCCAAGTTATTTGGTTGCCTTTTGACCTTCTAAGTTATTTATATGAGCCCTTACAGTCAAATAATTTCACACTGGGATTTCTGCAGGCCAAACAGGCTGCAAAAGTAATACATTTTCAGTGTCAAATGTTCTTAAATATCATGTTGAGCATGTCAAAATTTAAAAGGATTAACTTAATTGGCACAAAAAATAACCCTGTGATTGTCTCCAAATAGGTAAAACAATATTTTTGTTTCCAGCTAGTATAATGTGTAATGTACTTGAAATTATGTTAATATTTCATGTTCTTGTACCTGAAGTTATGATTTTGTAATTTAAACCATTGCAAATGCAGGTTTTCTTGTGCATATATTGTTTATTAAATTGTGGATCTAAGTTACCAAACAAACTGTTGTCTGAACAGGATTCAAATCTGTGGTGGTCATGTGCAGAACATTAATGCACTTTACAGTCCAGTGCCATGCTGAGTGACATACCTCAGCCAATTCTAGTTATTGAAGTCGTGAGGTGGCTTGTATAGATTGAAATGATATTTATATCTAACTTATTATTACAAGTAACCAGCAGTTTATGTATATAACTTTCCTGTACATGCATATTGCTATTACATATAATTATTATTATTACTTTCTTTATCTTCTGTTTAGGTCTAGACTTAGACTTAACATTACTAACAATGATGATACCCTAATGCCAATCAGAAGGCCTAGATGTAGGTCTAAGCAATATTGAAAGTTGGAGGCCTAACCTATATAATACTACAATGTATATTTCCAGGAACGTTGAGAGCCAGCATGGGCCCCGGGGCAAACATCCTCGCCGGGCCCACTTTCTCTCTCTCTTTTTTAACATTTTCAAGAATTTATTAAAAAAAAGATCCTAAATTAGGACAGCAACGAGCTCATAAACCATACAAAATCATAGCAGCAGCCATTTTTACCACACAGTATAAGTGTAAAAACGTTAATAAAGTAACAAGAAATATCTATTAAATCTATAAAGTAACAAATACACATTAATTATTACTCAAATTATTATTTCAGTCATTTTTAATGTATCAAGCATCTATATGCAAAGAAAAGCCAAAACTATGGTTTTTATCATTAAATGAAGATATAGCCTAAAGATGCTTTGCGGGCTTGCCTTTTTGGGCCTTCTTATCAAAAACTAAACATATCATCTACAGGTAACTATATCATTAAATTGGGGGTACTTAAACATACAGTATAACAATAATGGGGGCAAAAGTATTTATAGACACAATTTGCACTTTTCATTTTACTTTATGACCATAATCAATAACTGAAAAAAGCAATACTTAGTGTAAGACAACTTACATGCACATCTAATTATTTGGACTCTAAAATGTTATTTTTGTGAATAGTAAAACCTCCATACTTCATTAAGAAATAGTAAAGAAATTATGTATGATGATATTTGTTATAGTGTTGATAATGTATTAGATATGAATTAAAGTTGTGAAAAAGAATAAGTAAACCTGTTAAAGACAATCATTGTGGAGTATGGGAATTGTTTCTGTATGTAGAATTTTATTTAATTGATGTCACTCATCTAATATCTTCTTTTTTCAGAAATTACAAAAACAAAGACTTTTTCAACATGCACAGCCAAAATGCTGGAGCCTTGTCAACAACAGCCTGTCCATCAAGGATTTATTTTTCAGGTAGTTTTCTTCAATTGATTTAGATGGACCAGACTTGTCTTTTAATGCATTAGTAGTTTTATGTTTAATTATGTACATGTTTGAAAACATAGCTAAGCAATACACGCAAAATTTGGAAGCAATGCAAGTAAAATTGGTAAAAGCAAATAAAGGAAAATTCATATTAATCTGATATGTTATGATTGAGATCTAGCCTTTGAGATTTTTTTTGCAGTTAAAACTGTATACACATTTATGTGTACTTATATTTGCCACCTTGTGTTAGAAGTACTGCATTACTTATTTTTTGAAATAGAGTATTTGGATGTTATCAAGATTTTTATTGCTTATATGTGCATGTATATTACATATGTTTAAAACAAGGTATACTGTACAAGTATGTGTTTATAAATAAGCACCGTGTTTGTATATTGTGTAATTGGATACTGAACATATCCATAATTAGATACACTATATGTAAAAGAATGTATGTTCACGACTAAGTATACTTCTAATATCTCTTTGGTTATAAACAGGTTTTACATTCAATAATTGTGGAAAAATTGGGTGTGCTGGAAGATTCCCTCATTACTGGGGAAAATGTCACAGTAACCCTTCTTGATGCTGCTACAAGGGTAGGCAAAATCTATTTTTTACTGTATTATCATTTTATTTAACCATATCACATTATTATATTTTAATATTAAAGTCTGAATCATGTGTCATGTCTAAAAACATGCAGATGAAAGCCTGGTATATCGTGTTAGAACTAAATACTGTACCTTTTTGTTTCTTATAAATTGCAAACTATTTGTCCATCATATCATCATTATTCAAACTACTGTAACCTTTTACTCAACTGGTTTCATTATGGACTCTTAAGTTTTATCTAATAGCTCATTTCTCATACCTAAATGCCTCATTCCTCTCATGTTTATGACTCTTTTTGTCTTCATTTCTAGACTTTCTTTCCTTTTCTCGATTCCCTGTACTTGATATCTAACCTACCAAGATTCTTCTGTGGTATTCCTTTTCCCCTGGTGACTTGGACTGCTGTCATGAGATTTCTGTCCTCAATATCTTTCCAGGTTTTGCTTTCCTCTTTCTTGACCTTGCCATTTACTCTTATTCCTCATCTAGATCTTTTTCCTTTTCACCTTTCCATTCCGGATTCCAGGCCTTCCTCTTTTTTCTTGTCTTCCCTCTACTGTTAGTCTAGTTTGTCATTCTTCTTAACAATGACAATCACACATGTATGAAACGATGGGTACCTATCTTTTCTCCATATGTTGGTCTTACTTTCTGCCAACATTAATTTTCAATTTCTTTAACTTAGTCTCTTTCCTCACTCCTCTTCCCTTCTCTACCTATTTCCTTTTCATCCCTCTCCGACTCCATCTATGATCTTTTTAACATGGTGTGTGATTGAAAGTGGTTGATGTGTCATACACCTTCTACACACCTTTCTTCGCCTGTCCTTCCTTTATTTTCTGTTCTCCTTTTTCATGTTTTCCCATTCCTTGCTCTTCTCTTTGACTCAACATGAAAAAGTAGAACAGAAAATAAAGGAATATGCTTGCCATATTCACAGCCCAGGACTGACATTTGTTTCTGAGACTGTTTCCTTCTCTTAATCCATTCTTGAATGTTTCCTGTTCTCCTACCTCCCTTCCTTTCCTATAGCTACTCGGGTGGAAAGAGTGGACTTGTCCTGAGATTTACATCATTTCTCACACCCATTCAATGTTGGGTCCTTTTGGTGTTTTCTTCTTCACATGTCTCAACCGAGTTCAGTTTTTCTTTTTTGCCTGCGATCTATGGCATATCTGACCACCAGGTTTTACATTCCTCATTCTCTTCCTACATGAGAGGTTATTTTGCTTTTGGGGATTCTAGCTTTCTTACAACCCATCATTAATTTGGGGAAAGCACTAATGTGTCTCCAATTATGGACCTTATTGACTCATGGTTTTCATTCTTGGTGTTTTCCCCTTTGGGAGCATCTCCTTGGGGTATTGTCTTGGTTATTGGACTGTGCCAATACCACTTTCTGCACTTGCTGGTTGCCACTTACAGGATCTCTACCTTTTTTAATGTTTCCCTCTCTGTTGAGGGCAGGACTTTTGACATTTCAATGTTGTTCATGCATTCCTTCCCCTTCAATGGGCTTGGACATGTTCCCATTATTGCCCCTACTGTTGAATCACTTGGTCTTATACCACTCAGTCTTTTTCCACGGTCATTTCTTGCATAAACTATCCACGAGGCTTCTGTTTCAGGTCTCCTTTGCCTTGGGCATTAGTCATATAACTTTAGATCCATTCAAATCAGGTCGACCTTCTTGCTTATCACTTGCTGAGAGCTTATGTCTTGATGGCAAACCACCTATGTTAGCCAGTCTGCATTCTATCGATGGAGTAGTCTATACCACAGATCTTTTGTGTGGTTTGTTCTTAATTGGTCCTGCCCTTCATGGATACATTTGCCACACTTCAGAACTCCAGGCTTTCTCCCTTATGGCCTGGTTCTTTGATAATTATCTTGCTTCCTCTGTGCACATGGAATTTGTCCAATCTGTCATATGTCAGGCTGGACTTTCTGCTTTTGTATCACTCCTCTTGTTGTCCTTCTGCTGGCTGGGTATCCTTTACTGTGGATGTCAGAAGGTTTTAGTGTCTTACATTCAAAATTTTATTAAGCTACTGTTACGACAGTGGGGGGTCACGTGACGAGTATTCTAGAAGATTCTCTAGTGTGTTACGACAGCGGGGTCACGTGACGAATATTCTAGTAGATTCGCTAGTGTGTTGCAACAGCGGGGATCAGTTATGCTGGTGGCGCGTATTGAGAGTCTTAGAAGTTTCTAGAACAGGCAGTATTATCGTATATAAGTGCGCTAGACAGTGAGAGAGACAGACGGAGTCAAAGCAATAGTGGAGACAAAGACAGAGACGTGGCAGAGACGAAGCAGGCAGAGAGAAAGAAAGACAGCGATTACGATCGGTGGGAACTGGGGATAGCAGACACAGAGATCGGAACTATAGTTTGCGGGGACGGACAATTAAGTCCAAGCGCGATAGAAAGTGAGTGACTTGTTGTGAACTATAGTGGGTGTAACTGTGAAAATTAAGTACATTACAAAGTTGTATTGAGGAAGAATAAACAAGTTTTATAAAGAAAGGACTTGTATCTTAGAAAAATTAACAAACAAACATACAGAGACGTAACAGTATAACTAAGCTAATCCTGACAAATTACTGTAAAAAAGGCATATCCATAGAAGTGTAACCTAACAAACAAACATACAGAGACGTAACACTACTTTTTGTTTATGTTATACTAATTAGAACAGCCTAAAATCTTGGCTAATAATCCCTATTTTAATAGTATACAAGTATTAAGTTCTTAATTCGACAAGGAAATATTTTTAAAAATCCTGAATTTCCGCTAGTGTGACCCACGTGACACATTTTCTCTTAGCATGTTGTCATCCCTATTTTATCCACCACCCCACGAAAAAATATGAAATTAAACGTAAATTACTCTCTATAAAATCATTATTCCTCAGACATACCAACATTTTTATAACCTTCAATTTTATCTGGTTACAGAGCTATCAAATAGAAAATCAGATCCCTCCTGCCACACCCACCTGTCACTACCTCTCTTTTAGAATTCGTTGATAGTTCTCTCTTATATTTTATTATATATTACCTATAACCATTCGAAAGTCAAAGTTTTCATCAATCAAATGTTGTATTGTATAACATTGTGTTCTGAACAGATAAGTGTCAATTTCACTTGTAATACATGATTCATTCCTGTGGGAAAGTTAACGCCATGCTTAGAGGAATTTGTAATGGCTCTTGTCACATAGTTAGAAAGCCAGGAAAAGTTTGAGAGGTAAGTGCATGTTATTAGTCTATTTTTTTGGTGCATTATTATCTGTAGCAGTGGTCGGCAACCTATGACCCACGGGTCACTTAGTGACCTGCGGCAATAATTTGTCTGACCCGCCAAAAATGGCTTCACCATTGCAACCCGTGAGGGCACAATCATTGTTCAGTTCAAACTTCTCGGCTATGTGAGAAGAACAACGATATTAAAGGAAAGAGTCACGGCTACTGAGAATTTTAAGATCAATTTCAGGGAAAAATATCAAACTGGTCGAACTATTAATTTTTTTTTGTATGTAAATAAACATACACATTTAAAATACATGTACCGGTATTAATAATTATATGATTATCACTGACCCAACACAATGCTAAATTTTTCAAAAAAAAAATAATTGACCCGCGATCAAAAAAGGTTGCCGACCACTGATCTATAGCAGACAAAATTAGGGTTAACTCTCTTTAAAACCTGACAGCATGAAAAAAGAAGATTGGTTAAGTATTTTATTTCTTGTTTTTCATGTTTATTATGTATGTGTAATTATAAAAGTAACTAAAATGTAAAAATAAAGATCCTTTTTAGGTTTGTTAAGATTAGATTAGGTAAAATAAATAATGATAATAATATTATAATAAAAATGTTTCATAAGGCACACACGCGCGAGCAGCTCATGGGTAATGTAAGCTATTAGCATAACGTGAGCTACACATTCCCCGAGTGATTTATAATGACACAGCTAGTAGTTAAACATGGTTTAATTATAAACAGATGTATACTGTTACAAACTTAGAGCTACTTAGGATAAAAAATGTTGTTTCAGGTTACAATTTGAAGTCATTCTAGAAAGGAAAAAAGGGTAATTTAGGTTTATTTAGATTTTTTTTTTTTGGTTATGAGGTCGTTCAAATTGACCGATCCTGTTTTGAGATAGGGTAGAGAAAATAACAGATAAACTATA